TCATGCTGTCATCAACGAATTCTTCTGTATATCTTACGTTTTTATCCAATATAGATTAACTTTAATCTCCATTTAATTTACTTGTTATCTTCTTCTAATTCTTAGAATTTCACTCACACTACACTAGATTAGTACATATCAAAAGACTGCTTTATATAAAGTATCTAAATGCGATGACATAATATAATCAACTTCAACAATAAAATAATCCAAGTATATTCTATTAAATGTGATAATATCATTATTGAATATTTATATTTATGTTTCCACATTTAACTTCATTAATTTCATGTATGCTTTTAACGTACACTAATTTAATGTAATGCAAGTGACTGAATTTGCTATTACGGCTATTAAGTATATTAATCTATTCTACGACAGTTTAGCTTTTACCCCGTTTGCCGCAGCAATTCGGATGATTCTCGTCACCGCTTCCTTCACGTAAAATCGTCCGTCGCCGCCGACGACGAGGGTACAGCCGGTCAGCTGATCGCCCAGGGCGTGCAGTGTCGCCTGCACAAAGTTTTCCGTATAGTGCTCTTGTTGGAAGACCTTGACGGCTTTTCGTAGGCCCGAGGTGCCCGGCTTTTGGCCTTCGTATATCCGAGTGTTCACCGTCAGGCTCCTCACCGACGTCGCGGTCATGCTCGCAAAGTACTTTCGCAGGAATGCTGCAACTGATAGAGGAAAAAAACCGATGAGGCGAGAAACTGGAAATTGGGATTAATCTGTTGGTCGCGACTGGCGAGGAGATAAACTGTACGGAGACCAAACACTTGCGACAACCGTTCGTGCTGTCCGATAACTGTCGGCGGCAGACCGAACTTAGTCTGTCAATGACACGCAAGGGCACGAGTGCCCGGTTGCCGCCATTTTGGAAGATCGCGCGCCGCGCGCTAGTTATCGTGGGAGCCGCCAGTCGGGAGTGCGCACGTGCACGCCACAACCGAAATTACATGGACCATCAGTGATCAGCATCAGCCGTCAGCAGTCAGCGGTTAGAGCTGTCGCACTGTCGGGTGTCGTTGACACTTCGGCTGTTTTCCTTTTAGGAGACACGATCGAAATGTTTTCTTTTTCGCTGCGTTTCACTTAATGTTCGCCGCAGCCTTTGTTATTCATTGAATGTCAACAGGATAGAACGATGTTTGTTTCGACCAGTCTTGACTGTATCTTCTGAAAGGAAAGTAGTCTTCTTTTCTACAAAATGGCTTTTCGACTCGTAAGGCCACAAAGGCAGATTAAAGTATCGTAAGTCGTTGACATTTGGGTTGGACTGTGTGGACATCCTGCTTCCTGCAGGAAAGAAATCCAAAAAGAAAGAAAAGGAGAAATAAAAAGAACACTAGAGATCGATTACATTTTGACAACTGTATATTGATACCATGACTAACTCCATTTTCATAATTACGATGTTACGAAGATAATTTATTGTAATTAATATTTATTTTAATTAACACGTCAAATCAAGAGATATGTTAGTGCTCGGCGCGTTAACACAAGCGCAGTGACACACTACCACGTCAATGAAATACTGGGTATACTTTTTGAATTTTTGAATTTTTGAATTTTATGAATTTGAGTTTTTGAATTTTTGGGAATTTTATTATGTAAAAGGAATTCTTATAGATTCTCTTTAATAAGTATTTACAAATTCTACAATCTAAGCAGAACAGTCACGATAACAACAAAATAACGTTAAAATGATTTATAAATGATTGAAAAGTGACTTTTAGTAATCATTTTGATATCATGACTTGTGCTCTACTTGGATATCTATTTCTCATTTTCTAAAATTCGCGCAAAGTTGCTATTTTGAAAATTGAGATCGAGTTTCAAAGAACTTCGTATAATTTTTTTTTCATGAACCAGAAATTATATAACACGAAATATTATAACTTATTTTTAAACGATTGTTGGGAACTTGAGACAATGTTAAAATAATATTATTAAACCTTAAACGCGTTTTTCTAGAAAAATTAATTTTCATAAATCAGATTTATTCGGAAAATCATATCTTTTCAATAGTAATCTTGCTATTTTTTACATGCGCATGTAAAAAAAACAGAGAAACATAAAATTCTCTTACGTAAAAGTTTTTTTTCATTCAACAATTACTAAAAAGACTATCTTTTTTTTCTATAAGAAAAGCACAGACTTTTATTATATTCGATTCTAATGGCGAATTCGGTTGGAAGCACTAATGCGCACTAAAGTGCATATTAAAGCCGTTGTACCCTGATTTAATTTTAATATAAAAGTGAAATGTAAATAATATTAAGAATCTTTATTTTAGACCGCATATGTGAGAAACACAATCAAATTGCTTGTCAATTTAATTCGCGATTACTAGAGTAGTTTTAATTGCGTTTATAGTCCGAAAAAACAACTCGGCGCGCAGTTTGAAAAGACTACAATATAGTATATATGCAAGTACATATATAGTAATATTATATTAGTAATTCAGGATTGAATTATTTAAAGCAATAAAGATCCAGCTTCGACTGTAATAGGCATTTTAAATTTCTAGTTTTGATTGAAATGTAAATATTTCGAATTATAAAATACATATTTTACCTAATAGTACAATAAAATGTACTGAGTATTTCAGGATTTAATCGATTTCTCTGTTTATGTATAAACATATCTTTACATTATTTTATGTATTCAATGTGTACTAGTGCATACTGCTGTGTCCAATCGAATTCGCTATACCTAAATGAAAAATAATATCCTTTTTCGATCAATCAAATTATCTTCCCAACAACACGCATATCTAAAAGACGTCATAAAGACGGTTTTTCGACATCTTTTAGATATGTATATTTAAAAGAGGTCTTTATAAGATCTTTTAGACATGTTGTAAATGTTATTTGAGTTTATAAATGCTATCTGTGCGATAGTTGATGTCAAGTAGAACTATTCTTGAAAAGAGAATAATGTTTGTGTATAATGTGAAATAAATATATCGTTCATAAATTTGTGTTTACTCGTTGATTACTCCAGTTTTCGAGTCGTGTTCCAATTTTCTTAGTTCTAACAATAACGAAGATTTTCGATTTGTATAAGATTGTAGACACTTTCTGAGCGGATGAATAGGCAAAACAACGAAAGAATGTCGCGTAATTGCGTACGTAATAGAGATAAGTTTTGCAGATAAATGACGTGGGGATTAATAACGCGGAAACTAAACAAGAAAATAGAAATGGATGCGTGACAATTTTCTGCAAATGTAGGATTTATTCTTGTAGTATTCAATAGACCAAAGACGAGAAAATATACAAACGTGACAATTCGTTGCTTTAAGTTGAAAGCTGTGTAAGAAGTCGATAGACTTACATCAGCGTGCTTTATATTGCTTGAATTAAGATAACAAATGTACAAAGCGGCTAGTCTCGGGCGTCTTACGTATGCATCGCTAAGAGATAAGTGGATAGGGTCGCGAGTTTGACGTTTAAAGTGTTAATAATAAAAAGGATAGACACGTTTAACTTCTACAAAAGAGAAGCCTTGTAGTATTTCGTGAGCACCGTTGAACATCGAGAGGATATTATTGTTAATTTTTCATAATAAAAATCTGTTTAAAAAACTTTATTTCCCTCGAGAAACGCTGAAATCCCCGCGGGAAAAAACGTCATAAATGATCGAAATTGAGATGGAAGGTTATTCACGGGGTTATTTCGCACAGTCAACGCGTGAAAAGAGAATGAACTGCGAAGCGAGCACAATTATAAGCACTCAGGCCGATTTGCGTCGACAATTCGGATTAGCTTGATAATAAATTAGTGACTATTTCCACTTAGATTATAATTTGATCTGTAAAAAAAAAATAAACAATACTAAATCGCACATCAGTGCAATTTTTATTCCGAGATAATTTAAGCTTTCAGAGATTTAATGGGGTGCAGTTCACTTAATACTATAAATGCTTCGAAGCATTTGATCGACCAATTAGAAGAAAAAATTTTACGTGATAATTGATCAATTAAAGAATGCTTCAAAGCATTTATAACATCAAATAGACCATCAAAATAATTATAGAATCTATGTGTTTCGCATTTATCTCCGTATCTATGGCCTTGGAATGCCAATGTTTCGTTGCAGTTCACTTTATCTTTCTTCAAAAAGTATCATCAAAATAATTATGTAGGTCGTTCGAGCTGGTTGCTAAAATGTCAAAACCTTTTATAGCATTACTCATTGAAAATTCTATATAATTGTTTTAATGGTTCAACAAAATTATTTTTAGATCTGTAGATTTTCAGATTACTGTGACAAAGAAGCAATGGCAATTCAATTCTTTAAGTTTAATAATATTTTGTTATTTTTGACTTCCATGTGTATTAAAAATGTAATGTAAACCAAAAATGTAATGTAAATCCTATTTCTATAGTTAATTTTAAAATAAACAATGTCCATACACATACCCATGTATAAAGTACGCACTTAGTAAGAGATAAACTAAATTTGAGTCAAATTTAATACATTTTCTTGAGTTAAATTGTTCAACTTCATTGTTTTAATTAAATTAACGACATATTAAGTAGGAACATTGGCGACCTATAAAAAATAATTCAAATTAGATGTAATTTGACATTATAAATTTAACAGTAATAAATTTAGAGATACTTCAAGATTGTTATAACAAAATTGTTCTTTCCATATATGAGTGTCAAATGGAATACAGGGCGAGAAAGACAGGAATCTCCCTTGCATCAGTCACGGATGTCCTGGAGCCGCAACAACATCGGTACCAAGGGAAAGGCCAAGAGAATCTGTGAAAATTATGCGATCGTCACGACCGATCGGGTCGGTCAGTGGTTTTTAGCCACGTTCGTTTGACGGACGCGCGCGAGGCATGTTCGTTGAAAAATGCGGCTGGAGGGAGGCGTGCTAAGTCAAGGATACCACTGATACAAAGTCCGAGTTTATAAAACGGGGACATACCTACTCCAAAACCCAGTTTTCCAGACGAGGGCGCGCGATCGGTAACCGCTTCCCACGGGAGCGAAGTGTCCTTTTCAATCCCCCGGATCTTGCTGGTCGTCCAATCTACATCACGGGGACCAGATCGTGATCAATCGTGTTAGAGAGAAAAGAAAAAGAAGATAGTGAGTCAAAATTTTTCAGTTTCACAGCGACCACGGATAACGCGCTGATACCGGATTATCGTGTCACCAAAATTCCCGACGATAACTTTTGACGCGATCCCGGTTAATCAGTTAATTTGGATCAAAGAAAGACACGTTTGTCATTCCGATAAAACTGTAGTAAACGTCCTTTAAGCCAGTTATTGAATCCGTTATCTGGTGCTCGCACCTCTTGGGGTGATACGCATTCGGCGTATTTAACAGATTTGTGTTTAAAAAAAGAATAAAAGAAAAAAGACGATGACGCAAGAAGAACTCTCATTCAGCATGATTATATAGTTCAACGCGATGTAGAATGCTCGTCGTTTAGTTTTGTGTTTCCTAGTGCATCTTTGCATGCTCCGCTCGATATTCGCCACTTTGAGCAACTGCTGCGTTCGAGGAAGCGCCGAAGTGTTAAACAGAAAAAGAAACTTTCTTGCATTACATTTTTTTTTTGTCAACTTTCAACTTCAGAGACATTATGTATAAGATCCGTGTTTACCCAGGCAGCGACTCCTCGCTAACGCGAGACAGCGGATCCGAGAGCACGCCGTTACTCTCCTCGGAATCTCGCACGAGTCCGGAACTGGTGATATTCGATGATTCGGACACAAGCGACTTAGATCCAAGCCCGACCAACTGCTCTTTAATGTAAGATGTGTATGAAATGCATCTGCGAGAGGGAGATATATTGTATTTTTCCATATAACTAATAATGTACATGAAAAAAAAAAATTGTATTAACAACATTAACCAACAGCAGTCTAATTGAAAATAATCTTATTTATTCAAAATAACAGTATTAATGAAACAAATAACATTGTATTAACTCTTTTAAATCCTATGTTTGTAATATTATAATATATAGTATATATTGTAATGTACATCAAATTTAAAGACATTATCTGTTGAAATTATTTAATTCTATCGATATCATCTGAATCTGACATCGACATATAATAATGTATATGTTGGAAAAAGTCAAAATTTTGAAAAAAAAATTGTTTAATATGAATTACTAATTAAATTAAAAAGAATCTTTTTAGCACGGTTCCAATAAAATCGGATCTGAAAGGGTTAAAGCAAAAGTATGGCGTATTTATTTTATTAATATTACCACAAAATTAACGGGATTATTTTCAATCAGACTGCTGTCGGCTAATGCTGTTAAAATTTTTTACGTATATAAATTAAAAGCGTAATAATGGATATAATAATGTAGATATATAGTGATCTATCATATATATATATATATATATTTATATTATTTATAAAGGATCTATAGAAATTATAAGAGTATGCATTTTCTGTTGTCTTATCTAGATACGGAAGCATAGACTCCAGTTATAACACGATTTTAACTACACCAAAGAGGCCAATTTCTTCAACGAAAAATAGTGAATTATTCGTTTCCACAATGGCAAATTCACCTTGCACAGTAAGCGAAAAAAATTGCGAGCCGTGCAATGTAGACTTGGTAAGAATAATATAACTGTTTGTGTATTTTTTTCTCCAAATAACCTGGATTACAAAAATCAGCTTTTTAAAAAAACATATCCAAAATGTAGCAACGTTTAAATGATAATTGTTGAAAAATGATTATGGTATTTCATGTTTTTTATTCAATTTAATATTGCATTTTTTTAATTTAATTTATTGTGTATTCATAAAATACATTGAGATATATATACAAATTAAGCTTTATAATAAACAAATTTAATTTTTCTTCCACCTTCTTTTTTTCTTCACAAAAATAACAAGTTTATTTGTTTAAGTTTAATTTCTACATCGATGTTAATTAAAAATAGCGAATCAAATCAATTTTAGTGAAGAAAATAATTTATAAATGTTAAAACTGCTAAAACTTCTTAAAATTTGAAAATTCATTACGCGTTCATATATATAAAATGTAATAAAAAATAAAAATGTTAATATATGTACATATATATATATATATATATATATATGTATTTACTTGAATAATCAGTAAATGCATTAATGCAGATAATACAAGATTTCCTTTAATTTTATGTATCACTTTTCTGTAATTTTTTTATTGCTAGACACTGATGAACGAAAATTCCAATACAAAGAAAGCGCACGAGATAGACTTTGTGCCTCTACAATTTCAACCCGATATCATACAGGCTTCTTGCAAGGATCTCAAACCGAAGCAAAGTTCACTGGTCACTATGTAAGTGTCTTGAAATAAAATCTGTGAATAGAAAAAGTTTAATAAGAATACGAAAAATTTGTGAATATGAAAATAGGAGGGTGGGACATGTAAAATTTTTCGAACTACGCTTATACGGGATATGTGTTCTTAATGGACGACCCCCTTAAAATCAATAAGTCACACCGATCGGTATCCTTTCCTAGGTTTGCCCTAAATACGCTTTCCTAAGCCAAGCAGAGATAGCATTCAACAGATTATTAAGATTAAAATTATCTAATTGGTTCGATTCACAGTTTTCAATCTCTAGTATAAAAAATAGAAATAGACCCATGTAATATAAAAATGTTGCATACTTTTTACGGAAAATTGAAAGAGATAATTAAATTTATGTATCATTTGTATATTTTCCTTCTCTTCAAAGATTAAAATACTAAAATTGTAATCGAATCTTGAACTTATGTCGGTGCACATTTTCATAATATTAATTCGTTAACGTAGGACACATCTCTTAACTATAATATACAGAATATTGTTTTAGTATTTCCACAATAATTAGGAATGTGCCGGATATCTGGTAACTGTCCGATGTTTATAGTCAATTCGGCCGAATAGTCAAATAAATTTATTCAAATAAATTTTACAAATGCAATGAGTAAATAATATATATCTTTTATATTAATATAACTTATAAAATAATTTTATATTAATAACTTATATTGCGTAAGTATACTAATAAATATAATAATATATGATATTGATGCATAAAAACAAGAACAATAGTATAAACGCGATAAAGAAAGACACATTCAATGGGCAAGGCATTAACAGTAATGTTATGTCTAAAAACCTAAATCCGAAGCAGAAATAAAAATAAAAGATGGAAAATAAATAGAAAACTGTAAATTTGGTAACCGATACGCAGATAAGCAGATGAGCGGAACAAAAAACCGAATATAAATATAAATTCAATAACTTATATGCAGATAAGCAGCATAAGAAACGCAACAGATTACAAAAATAGAACGTATGCAAAAAGAAGCAAAAATAAAGATATACAGTAATAATAATAATAATTGTACTAGAGATAATTATGGCAAATTTGTACTAATAAATATTTATACTAATAAGTATTTGTACTAATAAATATTTAGTCAAGTTGTCTATAGATCACGTGAAATATTTACGTGAGAAATGATAGATTTTTAAAACATCATGTGAGATCAAGATATTTCATATGTGGCCAATTTAATTAAATATGTTTATCACCGTTTGATTATTGTTTAACATGTATATGACGTAATACAATTTAAAAAAATTTAAAAATCAAAATTATCTTTTGCGTTTATTATTTGCTATATATTTTCTGCTACAGGCAGAATATTTCATATTTTCAGAAGAAACATACAACATTTCTATATTACTTGAGTCTATTTATTTTGTACATTAGAGATTGAGAACTGTGAATTGGAGTGAATTGAAATATTTGTTTTATTCTAATTAGTTGAATTCTAATCTCCAATTCGCAATCTTCTTGCTTTATTGTAAAAAAAAAACAGTTATATTTACTTTTCCAATCTCTTCATGTAATTGTTAAGTAAAATCCGGTTATCTCCGACAAATTCACTATTCAGCGCACACATCCCTAATATTAATAATAATAATAATAATAATAGTAATAATACAACTTTCCAAAAAAATCTATTTCGATATTACTAATTCTTAATTATTTCATCGGCTCAGTGAAATATTCAATTATTTCACATTCATGCACGTTGTTATAACTTTTCCAATAGAAAGTTTCAATGCTTATTCACCCCTACTTTATGATCGGAAAAGAAAGGTAAAGAAATATTTCATATGGAGTGTTTGCGCCAGGCCGACGATTCGCGAGAAATCACTTCCTCACCCATCTCAACTATAGTTGACTCTCCAGCGGATGGTGCACGCAAAAGGAGAATAAAAAAGGGGGTGTTAAGAAGTAAAAAAAATATATAAATCGATGGCGACGCACTTATCAACGCCGGTAAAATATACTGTTTATCGTGCATTGTTTAACGTGGCGTGTTTTGTTTTTCTTTTTTGCTTAAGCATGTTCTGCAATCGGTACATACGGGGTAAATCTCTCGATACGGTCATTTATCTTACGTAGATGGCTGATGACAACCGGATCGAAACTTGCATCAGCGCATCTTGAATTGATTCTTTCTTCATTGCATCAGACCGATATGTGTGTGCGTGTGTGTGCGCGACGTTAGGGGCGAAATCGACAACACTATTATTTTAGAGACGCTATCATGGCGCGCAAATAATCTCGCGTTGTGCGTTAAAAAATGAGCGCCGTCAAGATAAAGCGCGGTATTAATACATAGTAATTCGTAGTTCAGATTTGCAAACGCGCGAAATTAATCCGCACGATTAGATCTGTTTGCGTTGTTTACATTTTTTTGTACTTATGCTTGTTTCCGCTAATGTAGATTAATTTCTAATCTTAGTACAACTTCCTCTTTATCTATTTTTAATTCTAAGAATTAGGCCCGGTTCTATATCAATGTAAGATTAACTTTAATCTCGGTTTAACTTATTTTTTTATCTTTTAATTAGGATTTAAAAAAGATAAGAGTAAATTAATCCAAGATAAAAGTTAATCTACATTGATAGAAATGGGTTTAATTCTCTCAGTAAACAAAAATTAATTAAAAAAAAGATTCATTTCAACGTTTGCAAATCTGAATTCATTTCAATGCCCAATTTTTTTTATTCATTTATAGGTATTGCATGAAGTACATTTTCTATGCCTTTCAATAAAAAAATAGGTTCAATTTTTAAAAGTGGATCGTAAATCTGCTCAATTCAAAATTCTGGATAGGAAGTAGTTTTTTTAATTCAATTCAATCCAAAAAAATTTTTTGTATTTAAAATACGCATTCGAACAGATTAAGGGCCTGCGCACAATAGAGGAACAAGAATTAGATATTAAGATTTCAACCTATCAGAAATCGTATATTCCGATGTAATCAGTTTCTGATAGGTTGAAATCTTAATATCTGATTCCTGTTCCTCTATTGTGCGCAGGCCCTAAGAATTTCAATTCATTATTCATTCTCGTTTACTGACGGCTTAGAATTAGAAAAAGAAAAAAAGTAAATTGAACCGAGATTAAAGTTAAACTCACATTTCATCAGGCCTTAGAATCTTCACTTTCTCTTTTTTCAATATTCAAATATATATTGTTATCTTGTTTTAAATGCAAACATTTTTGGGAATTTCAAGTAAGGTAAACAGATTTATTGACGACTAGCGTTACTACGTAAAAACAATAGATATAAAAAATAAACATGGTCCTTAAAGGCCCGTCTACAATACACAGAGTAAGAAGAGTAAGAAATTGACCAATCACAGTCGATTATTCTTCTCACATTCGACTGTGATTGGTCAATTTCTTACTCTTACTTCTTACTCCGTGTATTGTAGACGAGCCTTAACGCGCAGGGGTTTTTCCCCTCCGCTGTCCCGACTTCCTTTGTCCTCAGAGGAGAAATAGCGCGAAAAAGGTATCTTCCACTGCGATGAAAATCAAGAGAGAAATCATCTCCGTCTCTTCTTTTTATAGCCGGCGATATAAGGGGAGTCGATCAATGTCGTAACTGTTTTCTCTTGCCAATTATCAGTTAACATAAACAAATCAATGACACTTGTCTCTCGCGAAATCGACGGGTCAATCACGCCTCTAATCGAATCCACGCGCGAGAGGCAAGATGCTTTATACTCGCACAAGTACGGGATCACGTCACGTCTCTACATGTGATATAACCTAAATACATGATCGTGCATGACTGTACGCTGACGTGAGGGCTTTTTAACGAGCAGTATATATTCGAAGACGCTGTTTGGTAGACACTTACTGTTGTAGCCGCCGCGATCTCGTAGGCTTCCCCATAGATGGAATCGTCGTGCATCGCAATTCGCGTCCTGACCGTTGGCAACACACGCGCGATTAACTATAACTCGTGGAGCTGGTGACCCGCTTCCTCCCGTTCCCGCGTCTGGAAAACGAGCGGGCGAGCGACACGGTCGTTCTGTTCTCGATTCGCTTGTGCCCAGTCCTTTCCTTAATCCTTTACCCAGTACCGAGGCCGGGACATGGCACACGGCCGCTCGTTTCCAAGACGCGGGA